TAGGTTGATGCGAATGAGTAACTTGAGATTGGGGAGGCGCAATGCTGAGAGCGCCCATATCTTGCTGTATTTGTTCCTTCAGTGCTCGATCGTAATCGGCTGATATCATGCTAGTATTAGGCGTCGGCCTTGAAGGCCGTGGAGTACTGGGATCTTGTGTGTATTTCTGTGGCGAGGGAGGCAATGGAATCTTTGAGGGTGATAAGGGCGTTACGGCCGGGACCGGTTTCCGCTGAGGCGAAGATTGTCGAGATGTTCCTAGTGCCGGAGCGTTCGCAGCCTTCAGAGTGCTAGTTACGGAGGAATTGGCGAAATCTTGGGCTTGAATCTTAGTCGGTGATGATCCCCTAGGACTCTCACCATAGTCTGCTTCTAACGGTCTTGATGCCCTGGCATTCCTAGTAGATTCATCCATAGGGTTCAAACCAGGTCGGTTAACTATTCCTCCTCGGCCGCTCACTAGTCGGACAGTACCAAAATCCCACATATCCTCATTGACGCGTTCTGGTTCAACCGAGTCTTCTCGTTCTTCCACGGTTTCCTCTTCCTCCGACTTATGGGTTGCGCTCCATCGATTATAACGCTCAATTAGCTCTGTTAAGTAGCTAGTTTTCTTCGCCTTTCGGATGAAAGGGTGCTTGAGCAGATCTCTGGCTACCGGCCGTTCTTTCGGGTCTCTTTGTAGACAGAGTTCGATGAAATCTTTGAATGCTTTTGTAAAGTTTCCTTCCAATCTAGGAGGGGCATTTTTAGGGATCAGGAACAAGACTTTCATTGGATGGATGTCGGCGTAAGGTGGCTCGCCATTGGCAAGTTCTAATGCTGTAATTCCTAGCGACCAGATGTCCGCCTTGTGATCGTATCCAGACTGTTTAATGACTTCAGGAGCCATCCAAAACGGAGTGCCGACGAATGTATTCTTCTTTGTCATGGTCGCGGAGAGCTGTCCAGAGACACCAAAATCAGCCAGCTTCACCTGGCCATTGGAACTGAGTAGAATATTCGCCGCTAAACAAATACCTCGTCAGTAAATTCGCATTCGCAACATCTCCCAAACTCATGCGACAATACCTTTAATGTCCCGGTGAAGCTTCTTGTCTGCGTGAAGGTAATCAAGGCCCAAAAGCAATTCCCTTATGATTATTGCAATGTAGTCTTCTCCTATCATGCCAGGCTTCATGAGATCGGCGCAGCTCCCGCCGGAGCAGTATTCCATCACGATCCATAGCTCAGCACCTTTCGCATATGATCCGTAGTATTTGGTAACGTATGGCGATTGAAGCTCGGAGAGGATGGCAATTTCCTGTATAATATCTTCGACCTCGTCTTCGGCGCTCTCGATATCGATGACTTTGATAGCGACAGCTTGACCGCTCCGCCTCTCAACGCTTGTCTCAAAGTTAGCCATTGGTACAGCAAGACGATCCAATTGGAAGCACAAACCCCTTGTAAACTTTTCCAAAGCTTCCCCCACCTAAAGCGCAGGTCAGCAATAGTCCTTAAGGTAGTCCCTATGCAGAGCGTCTGCGAGAGTCTGACCAATGCAGTATTCTTTCGTGTACAGAAGCTCAGGGTCTAGGGCCTCATTGCTCTCGTCATAATCTCGCTCAGCCATAATGTAACGCAGCTCTCGTTATTCGTGGTATATAAATTCGTTAATCGTAATAGGGTGACGTTGGTCGTTATGTAGTCGGGGTAGGTATCAAAGTAATCAAATCGTGGTGACTTTGGATTGGCTGATTCCGGAAAGGAGGTGAAGGCCTGCCCGCAACAAATATCGAGTTTTCTGAATATAAACGTTCATAACCAGCTACCTAAATAATCCAGAGGTTGTATAAGTCACAAGACAACTTGGATTAGCTTGCCAGGGAAGAATGAAGGCAGAGGTGCGCAGTTCAAAAGAAGGATTGTCCAATACAAAATAAAAGCTTCAACGAGGAATGAAAGGCGACAAAGTGACAAGATGACAAGATGACAAGACGACAAGACGATAAGATGATAATAAGCACCGGCGATTCGGTAGCATGCATGTACCAATGCGACAAGATCGATGTCCAATGTCAACAAACGCGGCAACGGCAATCAATGCATGCCCAGACAATGTGACAAGTGAGAGAAATAGGCAAGTCAAAAAAAATAGAGACAGATGATTTGTTGTGATGGCGGGAGAGCTGGGCAACTAAGAGCAACTGGGGGGGGGGGGGGGGGGGGCAACAGGGCAACAGGGCAACAGGGCAAATAGAAAAAAAGGTGGGGTATGGTATAAAAAAGGTTTGAAAAGGTGGGCAGGGGGGTTTTTTGGGTTTCC